TTTTGGTTCTTAAAAAAGTAAGAAAAATAAGGAAAAAAAAGGAAACAAAACAAAACAAAAAAAACCCCAGACACCTATGACAAAGTCATCCTGTGCATACTTTGTACATTACAACTAAGCTTTCATAATCAAAGTATCTCTCAGATTGGTATGTCCAAGAAAGAAGTGGCAGTTCAAAAATCAAAATAAGTACAGTTCTAGAGCAAAGAAGTATGGAGGAAGCTATTGTTTCATGCTGGACTTCAGAATCCAGCCAAGAGAACCCTTTTGAGATGGACTGATGATTTTCTGATTATTTTGCAATGTAAGAAGACATATTTGAACACTGGCACAAAGCATATATCCTACAGTGCCAGATGATCAACGCACTGCTGAGCTTCTAGTTCAGTTCCAGAACTGACTGAATTGCACCATTTCTCAAATGACAGCACAAATCCCAATAGCAATCTGGTTGTCCTCAAAGACCACGCTGGCAGTCCACTTCTGCTAGTGCTGCCTACCAACGGTGCTGTCCCAGCACCTTACTGATCACACGCAGAAAGACCAACACTCAGCAGCCCTGAGCCCACAAGCACCATGGACCGAATGGAGAAAGGTCTGCTGTGAGAACTTCCAAAACCTTAAGTCATCAGAACGATTACAATGCCCAAGAACCTTTCTGGAGGGTGAAAGGGAAAAAAAGACAACTGCACCAAAGAGTAAGGCCTTAAGAATGGTTCAAATGACCTTGACATTAGCAAGTCAGTTTTTGAAGGCAGAGAATGTCTTCCTCTTCTACACTAGAAGCCACATAAGTGCAAGGACTGAAGTACATACCTACAACCTTTTGCACACTGCAGGAGATGGCTCTGCATAAACAAATAATGAATTAGATGACTGAAAAGGTATTTTGCAGGTTTTCCTACATACTGGAACTTCAAATGTCAGTGGTTAAGTACGTAACATTTTTGAGATATATTTAAAGGTATTCACACGTAACCACACTTGGGTGTGACACACAGAAGTGCATGAGGCACCATGTTATATTCAGATATTTTTCTGTCAGATGAATTATAAGGGACCTTTTTCCTCCAATCAACTCAGTCCTTTCTACAATGAATCTCTGCCAGACTTGTACCACCCCAAGCGGGGTTGCAATGGGAAAGAAATGAAAGAAAATGGGAACATAATGGAAGGAAAGACTGGATAATGAAACAAACCTACCTTCATCTCTTCCTTACAGAAGAAAGCATTTCAAGAAGTTAAGATGTTAGACTCTTCTCTGAAGAACTAGAAGCCTATGCGAACAAGTATTTTTGTGATATGGACTAAGTTACTGACCCCACATTGCAAAAGGGAAAGAAATTAGATCAGTTTTTGTGAGGAAATTAGATGTGTCTTCAACTTCACTTACCAAAATTAAAGTTAAGCAGAAGCCAGTGGAGTCTTACGAAAAGCAAGATATACCACTGGCTTTTAGAGGAAGAGTTACTCAGAAACAAACAAACAAAAAAAAACCCCTGGACACTTGGAAGCAGAATGCTTCCAAGGCGAAGCACAAGAACGTGGGATGCTCCCTTCTCCCCTGCAAAGAACTTTCACCAGATAAGAACAGTCTTCTGTGTAACATCAATGAAGGACAATTCTGCTCATTGTTTGTTACTCTATCCTACACAGGATTACACTCCTCTCCTGCAGGGAGGAGATCAGAAGGAAGAGAAAAGCGAAACCATCTTCTCCGACGTCCGTGTTCCAGAGAACCATCTTCTCCGCATGCGACTGCACCTCCAGAAGCGGAGTCGTGATCAACTCAAAGCCCACCCTGATTGCATCGAGCTTCTCCTCCTTTTAAAGCAACGGTCTGAAATTCAAGCCGAGTTTTGGGTTTGATTTTTTTTCCTCCTTCTTGTGACAAAATGAAAGGGAGAAAGAAAAGAGGGAGGGGTAGGGAAAGAATGTAAAAGCCTGACATTAAAATCGTCTCTGCAGCAGCCTCGCGAGTGCGAGCCAGCAAAGCCTCCTCCACACCCGCAGGGTTTGCATGCAGCCGTGTGAGGTGCCTGGGAGCCTGCCTGATGGATCGGATGGAGGGGAGCGAGGGAGAGAAGGGAGGGGGAGGGAAGGAACAACCTTTCTTTTCTCTGGTCTTCCTGGGGATATGAAAGTTCCTCCTAACAGGCTGGTGGTCTTCTGGGGGCTTAGGGAGAGGGGGCGGCCCCCCGAGCACACCGCTGGGCGGCTGCTGCTGTTCATGTGCCGTCGAGATGCTGCTCCTGCGCTGGCTGCTGCCAGTGATGCTGAGGTTTGTGGGGACCTTGTCCTCTGCAGCAGCAGAAGCCACCAGCAGCGCCTCCCCAGCGTTACTGCTCTCAGAGCGTCCGCCATTTTGTGTGGTGTCCTCAGCGGCTCCCGCTCTGTTACTCCCCAGTCCGAGGACGCCCGCGCTGGTCTTCTCCGTCCGCTGATGCTGCTCCCGCTCCATCTCGCCGCCACTGGGGATCACGGCATCCGTCATTCCCTCCGGAGAAGCGAGCCCGGCAGCCCGCGCCTTCTCTTCTGCCCTGCCCAGCGCCAGCACCAGCACCGCCCGCCGCCCCTGCTCTCCCCCCTCCCGCCTCACGGCGGCCCCTGAGCCGCCCCCGCCCCGGCGCACAACATGGCGGCGGCACAGGCACCGGGGGCGGGGCCGCGGTCGGCCCGGCTCAGCCAATCCGCTCGCGCCTTACGTTATAAAAAGGGGTGCGGAAAGCGCTGCTATCTGTGGGATGGGGCGGCACCGGCCTCGCTCCGCGCCCCCACACAGCTCCGTGCCCCCACACAGCTCCGTGCCGGCCGCCCTCTAACTCCCCCACACCGCTCCGTGCCGGCCGCCCTCTAACCCCCCCCACACCGCTCCGTGCTGGCCGCCCTCTAACCCCCCGCACCGCTCCGTGCTGGCCGCCCTCTAACCCCCCGCACCGCTACCCGCCGGCCGCCCTCCCATCCTAGCCGCCCTCCCGCTCACCGGCCCCGCGCGGTACTCACTGCTCTCCCGCACCGCTTGTCACCCACCGCCCAGCCCCGCCCGGTACTGTTACATATTCATGACATTTCCCAACACTTATTAGCATATATACAATCCATACGGGGTCTCTGAGGGGCTTCACTGAGGGGTCTTTGGTGGTCCTCTCTGGAGCCCATAAAGTTCTAAGTGACTTATGAGTCACTCACAAGAATCCTTATGAGCTTCTTTAAGACAATATACCTGGTTATAGAATAACTTGGTGTTTCTTGGCTGGCTGCCTCAGTTCCCTTCTTCATTTTCTTCACTCGGTTGGTTCTTTTCAATCCCTTGGCTCAGCTATAGGTAGTTTCTGTATTACATTCTGCTGCACTATTACTTCTTGTTGCATCTTGAAACTCCGATATCATCCCCTGGAGGGAACGGGCTCCCCGGAGCAAACCGATCCCGTGGTGGTGTTTTATTTAGGTCCAGGACCCATCCAGGGGCTCACTGGAGCTCAGCACAGCTCCCTGGCCCCAAAAGGCAGCCCAGGCCTTGCACAGATACCTTGACAAACTCACCCCCTGAACAAAAAGTACACTGCACGCAGCGCCAGGTCGCACTTCTTCCTCTAAAGTTTAAAGTTTCCTTTCCAAGGCATTGGAGAAAATTTCCCCTTTGATGAATAAAAATACATCATTAACAGTGAAAGGCAGGCAAAAAAAAAATCTTAATATGCTTTAATAGGATTCTTCAGTAGCCTCATAACCAGCTAACTTGTACTGGAGGAGAGTATCGTATCAGAGGGTTAACATTTATTCCCCTCTGCCACCGCCACTGCAAGGCTCACTGGTAAAAGAGGGGTGTGAATATGTGACAGCCAAAGCACAAACGTTTTTTTGGCAGCTCTGAGGAATGCACCGGGATGGAACAGTGCCTGCTGAAAATAACCCATTCTTGCAGTGCCTAGGAAATACGAATACCAGATGTTTAGTTTTACAAGTAAGTAACAAAACGTTAGTTTTCTTTATTAAAAGTACACTAGTGCAGTGCTTGTTGAAAAATGCATATATTAATTACCTACTTATACCAATTACCTTCAATCCTCGTAACTGTTGCTATTTATACTGTCACCTCAAAAGCAGCTACTGACCTTAAAAACGTGAAGTTTGCATGCTTGCAAGGTATGCAAGGAACATATATTTTAACCTGGCCATTTTATTTAATTGATCTCTTTTTAGATTACCTGTAAGTCAAAAAATATAAGTAACCTACCAGCTCACACATGGCCTAGTGATAGTGGTAGCCTCCAGGGTGTTAAAAAATAAGCTAATAATTATTAGTTCTTAGAAGTCTTTGGTAAGCCAGCAAGTTTAAACAGGGTAATTAGTATCTGTAACCATAATTTACATAAATTACAGAAACATAACACCAAATATTTCTCTGACTGCAGAAACATGGTGTTCCATTATCCAGAGGTAATAAACCCCACAAATGCAGTGTTCATCCTATGGATAAATCAAGACTGTCCCCCTGAGAATATGATGTCCTGCCTCTGTGAAGGTTCAATGGTGGTAAAGAGGATATTACAGATGAGTTGATATATTATTGGAATAATTTTGCTGTGCTTTACTTTGTTCAAATAAAATTTCCATATACAAGAAAAAAAATGGAAATACCAATCTAGTGCTATTTAAGGCTGTGTTGATCCATTATACACCTCCAAATATGTCAACCTGATTTATTAAGTTTGAACTGGCAAAGCTACTAAAATCACTTCTGGGCTGTGCATGTTTTCAGTATACAACTAGTTCAGCTGGTGTTTGGACCAAAGAAAGTAGCAAGTCTTGCTTATTGACGAAGCAACACACAAAGAAGTTTTCCTCATTTACCACTTGCTTTAAAAACCTGTCTTTGTAGTTGTACAGAATTCTTTTTCTGTATTAATTAACATAAGTCTTTATGTCACAAAAACTACTAAGTATTACTTGATAAATTACTTAACAATACCAGATCACTGTACCACTATGCATTTTAAATCCTGATAGATATAAAACAGGTACTAAGAATCCCAGTTCACAAAACAAAGGTACAGTGAAAAAACATCATAGGAAGAGATTACTTGAATACTCTGAAGTAAAAAAGGTTATAAAATCTGTCACCTTATTGTCTCTCTAAGCTTCTGGTTTCTGTGGTTTCTGATCCTTGCCAGGCATTCAACCACGACTCCCTGGCTTGCACCAAGTGGTTTCCCACCCAAGTACTAGGCAGCTGCAGACCCCTTTGATTCTGAAATCAGATTATATGTAGCACATTAATATTACAGATTTAGATCAGATTAACAGCCACAAAATGGGACATTTTTAAGGAAGGCTTGTGTAAGGCTCCTTGCTCAAGGAGCAAACATGGGTTCTTGCTCCAGACATTACCTCAGGATTCCTTTATGAAAGCAAATTTAGAAATGCAAAATTACTCGATCTGAGCATATTCTTACAGTTTAATGTAAAAAACTAGAAATTACTATTTTACTTTCCAGAAATTGCTCTAGTGATGCAAAACACACCTCATTCCTTCAAATGTTTAAATGCTAATTTTGTGCTGACTAAATTTCAGGTGCCAGGAGATCAAAGATAGGAGAACTGTATCATTAATCTTTTTTCAAAGACCATGCAGAGAGAGGCACCTTTGGAAAATTCAGAAACAAAACCTAATTTACACACTTGGAAAGAGCTTTAGTATCATTTACCAGCCATGGAGAAAATATGCCTATGATATTAAAAGGTGAGACAAAATGGGGCAGTAGGATTGACTTGGCTCTGCAAGAGCAGGGATTAGTTGCAGAAATTTACCTGGTGCTTTTTTCTTTAACAAATTTGTGATCCTCAGGTGAAAGTTTGAAAATACCTACTTGTATTTTTAAAATACTTTCATTTTATCATGATTAATACATTAAATATCTTAAAATACTTTAAAGTTAATGTAATCAAATCAGTTCTAAAAATACATCATAATTTCCATTAGATGGCACCATCAACCTGTAGAACAGATTACAGTATTTTAAAATCAGTATTCATGAGTAAGCATTAAATACAGAAGAACTGTCCATTCTGGATCTGGAACCCCTTTTTCAAAGGAAAAAAATCTTCCATATATGTGAAACTCGGCTTCAGACTCTGTTAGATCCTGGCAACCAAGCTTTGTCCGTGAAGTGCCAGACAGTGTCACCACAAAACATCAACTTTTTCAAAAACTGCAATCCATTAAAGTGGTACCTTAAAGTTCTGATGTAGCTTTCAAATTCTAAAAATTTTGTGAAACCTCAAGAAACCTGGTCTCCAGTCCCGCAGAGGCATTCCTAAGGCAGTGTCCCTGGTTCAGGTGGATCATGCTGAAATAGGAGAAATACATTCTCTGCCTTGAGTTCAATAGCTGGCCTATCCTTTACCCAGATTCTGGCAACTCATTCTCTGGTACTGAGCTTGAGAGACCTTAAACTTACTGCTGCTGGTGTCTCATAACAGACCTTTGTGTTCCAGGAGATAAGTCCTCTTCCTTGTGTTGTTCATTCAGTGCTGCAGAGCAAATCTACGGAAACAAAGGCCATGGACAGTAAAATTTTTTTTCATCAGAGGACCTATACAGTTCAAAGACTTCCAAGGCCTTCTTGGCTTACCTTTCTTTCTCAGTCAAGACAATCTCTGCTTTTACCTTCTGGTTCATCAGGTCTTTCCATAAGCTAAGACTACATTGACTGTCCTCATCAGGAACAGAAGAGCAAACAATTGCTAAGATTTGTCAAAAAGGGACAAATCTCCCACATTAGACCACTGACTTCCTGCTCTTGAGAGCAGGACACCTTAGCACTCCCTCTTCTCCCAGAATGTGAGATCCAGAGTGCTCATAGCTCAGATTTAGAGGAGTACCTGCATCCCTCTCCTCATTTTGCCATCCCCACATGGTGATGATCCTGGAAGCACTTGACACCTCAGTCTTTTCACTGCTGCAACCCCTCACTCTGCTCTGCCGACACCAGGATTACTGACTGTGATGGTCACTTGGACATATTTATGTACATTACTTTACCTCTTTACTACACATTCATCATTTTATGTTTTACCCACCTGTTTTGGTACGTTTTATTGTCCAAGCCCACCCCACCCCTCCACCACCCCAAGCCCCTCCTGCCACAATCAAAAGTCATTCTTTCAAAAGCAGCAACATTTTAAAAGTGCTAGAACTAAAACAAGCTAACCAAATCCAGAATTATATTAGTGTTGGAAAGCTTAATCCTTCAGATGATTTGAAGAGAAAAACCCAACATTACTAAGCTTAGATCAATCAGTAGCTAAGTGAATGTAAACTACAAAGCAGAACAAATCACTTGCACTCCAGAATGCTGAACATGAGGTTAAGTGGGTGGCTAAATGATAGTAAACAAATGTAAATTAATCTTCTGAGATTCACTGGCTGCTTGGTGGCTTTTTACATACCCCAGAATTAATCAACTCAGTATTTTGGAATAATATATTTAGTAGAGATGTGATCCCCAAGATATCACGAGAGAGAAACTGATGACAAGATGTTAGTTCTTTGTTTCACCTACTTACTAAATTAATTATTTAACACAAAACTCTGGGGAACGCAGTGAACTGAGTACAGTAACTCATTTTTTTGTTACTACTTTGTATCAAGCAAATTATATCCAAATATAAACACTTCCATAGCAACCAAAAGATAAGCCTTGGTCACTTACATTAAGCCTCACTGCCTGTACCACTTAAATCTTTCTGCAGTCTTCTTGCACAACCAACCAAACCAAATAAAAAATGGTTTAATGTAATTTATTTGAAATGCTTCCAGAAAAGTTTAAGGCCATTATTAAAAAAAAAAAAAAAGGCAATACACACATTCATTCTTTCTTCTCTATCTGAACACTTTACATGCTTTTTTCTCTTTTTCAGCATTTTGCTGAACAGCTTTCCTATTCCTTTTCTTTTGCAGATTTTTTTCTTTCTCTCATCTTCACTGGCATACTCATTCAGTTCTAAAAATGAAGCAGTTGAAATAAATTACAAAGCCTGAAACAGAAATTTGATTTTTTTTGAAAAACTATAAATACAGAAATATGTTCTATAGGGTAAAAATGCCATTTTTTTAAAAAATAAAAATACCTTGGTTTATATTGTTTATCATCTTGTCACACAGATTTCTGTAATGCATATCAGCATATATATATGTAAGATACTTGACATAATACATTTTCTGTAAACTTGTAGAACACAAGAAAAGTATTTTTGGCAATAACTTAAGTTTTTCTACTTTTGTTTTGACGAGTACTTTGCACAGGTTATCTTGTGTGATATCAAGAATCATTTAAATTTATTAATATATCATTTTCATAGCTTGCCACACAGCACTGGCATTATTTCTTATAATAAGAAATAAAATATCACCCAGGGATTCCTGAAAGTAACAGGATGTTTTAGACTGCATTTAAGTGACTCACCTGCTTCTCATTACAATGAGTAGATTAAATCAGCCACCAGAAAACACAGTAATATTTCCAATTACAGCATGAGATTAAATGCAATAAAAACTTTTAAAACAGAACTTGAGGAAAAGAAAAAGGATGTAATACATCCTAAAGGAAAAACAATTCCCTTTTTGTTTAAACTTTCTCTACATAATCCCATGGGGTATTTGTAGAGCACCATTTATATAAAATCATCACTTAGTTTTAAAAACCAACTACATGTAATTGTAAACAGACATTTACAGAAAATTAATTGTTTTAACATTAGTTTAGTGGTGTTTAAAACCAACAGTGGAGGTCAGTGGAGTGCAAAATGCTGAAGAGGGCCTATTCACAAGCAAAAGCTCTTTTCCATTCTTATCCTGTTTGGGATAATATATTTATGGCACTGAAAGCAAACTACCGGCTTATTTACAAATACCCAGTATTCTCAGCATTTCATTAAATTCAGTGCTGGCTGTAGAGGTTTGGTTGGATTTTTTTATCAGTTGATTACTTTTAGCATTACATGCTTTGACAAATAAACCACATCACTGTGCTGACCACCTGAAATGTCCAGATTTTAGTAAGTTTGCTTACTGGATTTTAGGACAGCGCTTCATTTTGAAAACTTAATCCCTAAAGAGTCCCTGGTTCCATGGCCTGCTGTTTACAGTTCTTGTTGATTTAATATCACAAGAGTTCAGACAGGTTACTGCAAGACAGTTTTCTTTTTTTCCAAGAAACTATTTTTTCCTTCTATGCCTTTAAGAAAACTTATTATCTTAACCCCCCATCCTGAAACTCCATATTATGTCCACATCTTTAGCTGCCCCACTAAGGGGCAAATAAAGTACTTAAAATCAGGAAAAGTTATTTATGTAATGCATATATAAACAGTAGCTTAGAGATTCTGTTTACAGCAGGACATTGAGAATAACTGGTCAAGTACCTCTTTCATCCACCTTAGGTGTTTATGGAATATAATCACAGGACATGAGTTGCAAGAGATTCCAGCTTATACAGATGGGCAGTCACAGTACTACACTCACAGGTACGAATACAAGAAGGACTGCATTGACATAGTCACAAAAAATATTCTAAAAGTGCTTCTCCAAACGGTTCCATGTATGGAATGCAAATACTGTACAGGTAAGAGACAGATTTTCTTCCATGAACTGTAAGTTTTTGTCAAACATTGGTTTCTATTTGCTTTTCGTGTTCGCAAGAGTTCGTCTGTTCCATGCGCTCGCAGTCGCCACTGACCTCGCTGGTGTCCATGCTACAGTCCGACTCACAGTCCGATTGCTCCATCTGCTCCAGGCTGGATTCTCCCGAGGGAACTCTGCGTCCGTTCGCTGACAACACAAAATGTGCTTCCGAGTTCAGCCCGCCAGCCTTGCCCGCACACGCTGCCTTCTCCTTGGCCTGGCGGATACAGTTCAGCCACTGCTGCTTGTTGAAGGAGTCATTGGCTTGGAGGGAGTGAGTCTGGCTTTGAGATCCGCTTTTGAAGCTGACTCTAAAGAAGTTTTTGACTGAAAGAAACAATACACGTCAAGACCTTGAATGCTTTGGTTGAATGGATTTTATAATCAAAATGTATATTTAAGTAACAGAATCTGAAAAATATTTGCCTTAATGTGTTTTCCTGCCAATACCACGTCAGACCAAAGAGAAGAGTCTGGGTGTCTCCTTGTTTTGTGGGTCAAGATCCCAGAACACCACATGCTCATCTAATAATTTCATATTGCTGGATTAAATGATTTTGGTTCTGCCATGCACGAGCTATCCATAAAGCTCAATTGGAATCAGCAGGATCAAGGCTTTTCCCACACTTCCAAGCCTCCCTTTCTACTTCTCAGCAAAGCAGATTTCCTTGTACCAGCCAGAGACTGCCTCATCTTTTCCACTCACTTCACTAATACAGCAGATATGTACAAAAATCCCTCGAAGTTTTGATCAGGTAAGTGAGATACATGATATCAAGTGAATTTGTTCAAGAGGACCCTTGTAATAAAACAAGCATCTTTATAATGAACTTAATTACAAGGACATTAACATGAATAGCTGCAGTCTTGACACTGAGTGCTACAGTATCAGCACTCAGTGTCAAGCACTGAAAGCTGGAATAGCAATCAATGCCTCCATAATACAAAGAAAGGCATGATAGCTAAAGCTTAAGATTTCAAAATACACTTGCTTATAATTTTGCAGTTTTGTCACTACAGCCTGCATATTCTCCCCTTCTGCATTCAGTACAGAAGAAGGTATGTGGAGAAATTATCAATACAGTGAGCTTTGAGAAAGAACCTAAAAGAAACAAGTTACAACATAATAAACCAGTTTGAAACAAAAATCCAGATGCTGGATAATGTGAATTTTAGAGAAAACATTCTGATGTCTCATTGGCAGGTATCTTAAGGTTATAATGATCCTACATCAGTAAATAAAAAAAGGTGTGGTCATACTTCTCTCATTGTTGCTGAATGCACCGCGGATGGATCCACCCAACCGAACTTCTCCATCCTGCAAATCTTCCAGCACGAGCTCCCTGACGGGAATTGGCTGCCGGTACAGCTGGTAGCAGAGCTGCTCGTTGTGGGTGATAGCTCGTGTAATCACCAGCACTTCTTCAAAGAGGAAGACATGCAGTTTCTGTTAAACAGTAATAAATAATAAAGCATTATTCCTTTTTTTAGAAAGTCATTAAACCAGATTTATTTAAACTCGAGCATGTTATAACCTTGAGCTTTCAACAGTTAAAATAAATATCCCATTCTTCCCACTACATGGCACAACAGCATACAAGTATGTAAATACAACAACTTAAAAAATTCTAGAATTATTTTTCCTGTCCTCTTCTCAGTTTCTCATGTCATAATCTTTTCCCAGCTGAGGCCTTGAATCGTGCACAACATTTCAAAGCTGTCTCTACAGCAGCAGCATGCTTATACACATTCTTCTTTCTGACACTTACTTTAACTTTTCTCTACTGCCTCGGTTAATAAGAAAGAAGCAATCTTACTCATCCAGATATTTTTAATGAACAATTAAAAGTGATCTTCTTACAATTCACATGCTGCTCACAATCAGCTTCACCACCAGAAATATTCACTCTTTGAAGCTCACAAAATTACTTTTGCTCCTAGGTGGCACAAGTCACCTGTTACCATCTTTACATTATGTTTCTCCTGACACTTTGCAATCTTCAGTGGCTTCCAATAATAAACAAGCTGAAATTTTAAATTCATTTCACTTGATATCAGGCACTGAAATAATTTGGTTTTCATTGCCAAAATTTGCTTCCCAATCACAAGTTCTTTGCTTCTAAATCTAAATAAACACACTGCTTGCAAGTTTAAGACAGACAGAGCTTCAGATCCATTTAGCTCACTGTCCCATCTTCTAGTAGCTCATGTAATTATATAGTAATTATAGCAGAAATATTTCCCAATATGCCTTGGCAGTCTTTTGATACTGAAAATGCCCATCTTCATTCTATATTTTCACAACAGATGCCTCATTTTATATCCATGAATAGTCCAATTTTTTTACAATTTGTGCATCTCTTTATAGGACACATAATCCTGCAAGTATTCCAATTTTATCTGATTTACTATTTATCCAGGATATTGTTAGGCCCCACAAGAGACAGAGATACATATAAGCTTATTATCACACTATACAGATATTTAACTACTAACAAAAATGATCAGTGTTATATATAACAGTTAATATTTACCAACTTCCTATATATTAGAGCATGAGGTTTCTCTGTGTATCCTCACAGCTCTTTCAGCTGTCATTCAAAATGAAGATACCTTTAAAAGCTATTTATGATAAAATTTTTATTCCTTACCACTCCCCTGTTGTTCTTCAGTTCACCATGACAGCACAGGGCACGTGAATTATCAATCAATGAATCCCTCTGGCCTTCTTCAAGATAAATAAGTCTCTCTTTGTAATACTGGCATTCAGATTCCCCAGTCTTTATGTTGATTTCAGCCACTATGCCCTGAATTATATTTATCTACAGAAAGACAATACAAACACAGGACCTTTAATTAGACAGTCCAATACTCAGAGCTATCTCCTAATAATTTGAATGGTAGCTACAAGAAAATACATTGTAATTTTCAGTATATTTTTCATTACCTTTTGCAGAGCAGTCTATAAAGGTATTAATAGTAACAGCAGAACTAAGCAGACTACAGTGTACAAAGACACTTCAGTTTGGCTTTATTATTGCTTCTCACTATGGCTTAAAAATCTGGCATTTATCTCTTTATAACAAAACAAAATAGGTAGAATTAAGATAAACAGATATAAGAAATATAATCAGAGATGTATTTTTGCCAGCTGAAATGTGCCAATAAATGACACAGGACAAACAACCTACCTTAAAAATGTTTACTTAAAATAGATAATAGTTCTCTGAAAACTGCTGCATCACATCAGAGAACAAGAAACAGAACTATCAAGATCCCTGTCCTGCAAAACATGCAACTAGCCCAAACCACTAAGATCTCAGCTGTTATTCATTATTAGTTATCCTCTGGAAACACAGTAAATTAATTGTATTTTACAATTCCACTATGTGCATATATCTACAATTCTATTATTGAAGTAATAATTTTCTTGCCTTTTTACTTTAAAAAACGTTAAAAGGAAAGCTTTGCCTTTTCTATAAAAATATTCTCCTTATCTTGAACATCCTTATACTGTGCAGTCCTTCAGGACTTTAATATCAATTTTTCTGAAACTTAAAATACAGCTCCTTAACTGGGTATGTGGATGTGGAGTCCTGGTGATTTTATTCAACTCCAACAGTGATCAGAGGCTGCTCAGATGGATCAAATTCAATTAAATAACTGGAGGTGGAGCAGGGGGGTGGGTCGGGACATACCAGCCCAAAGAGGTAGTTCAAGAATCTGCTGATCCCGGGAGATTTATCAGGGATCAACTTGGCCCAAGGTGCTTAAAGCAGATGGCCAGCCAGGAAGACAAATGTACTTCATAAGCCTTGGACAGTGTTAAGAGCCAACCACATACAGTCATTTTTGTTTCCTAATTTAACCTGGCAGATACACAATTCATGACATAAATCGCTTCAAAGATCATCACAAACCTATGTAAGGCTATTGAAATATTGACAAAAATCATTATTGTATTTTCTGAAACAATAAAAAATACAAGTGTAGAAGGAAAGCATTTAAAACATTTTCTAGAAGATATCGCCAGGCATTATCTAGGAAAGCAAACTTCAGAAATAACCAGAAGAATTCTTTGAGATATTTATGATTTTTGTTTGGGTTTTACAGAATATGCACAAGGGAAAATTGTATTTTATAGATTACATCTAAATGTGAGTATCCAAGCGCTGAATTTAAACCATATTGTCCAATTTTACAACAGAGAAGTTAAGCTGGGCAAGGGATTTGAGGAAGAAATAGCAGAACAACAGTGGTGAGGTACATGTGTTTTGAAAGATGGATTTTCCAAACAAAAGCAGGGCAGTCATTTTTCAGCAAAAAAATACTAAAAGGTATAAAATATTAAAGTGTAGGCAAATCATAAATTTTGTTCTCAAAATACTAATTTTACTTATATTTAAATACTATTCAAAAGCAGTAGGACAGTGATGATACTTATTTATTGATTTCTTTACAAGTGTGTTTCAAACAAATCCGCTACAGTGAACTCATTTACTTGCAGATACACATTTGTGTATATATTTGTGTACATATTATTGAATTTAATGTGTATGTATGTGTGTATATATGTGTGTGTGTATGTTTATGTACATTAGAAAACAACAGAAGTCTTAGGAATATCTGAATTGGATCCCTTTCAATTAATGACGAAGTTTTAAAGCCTTAGGTTTATTCCCCTGGTTTTACTTCAGAAAGCACAACACAAAGGAATTATGGAATTACAATTACAAATGAAAAACAGAATCAAAGCAAATTTCAGAGCACCTTTCCTACAGATGCTAATTACTAGATTCAGAGGTTAAGTGAGATCTCAAGCCAGGGAATAAAACTTATCTGA